GTCCTTTTGGTTTCATCTCCAGCTAATAACTGAGGCAGTTAAAAACTTAACTAGCTGGGTCAATACAGAGTGTACTTTGACAAATGAGCAGGCAGGTTTTAGAGCTGGACACTCTTATCTTTGATCACGCCTTAGTTCTGCAACATCTGGCCCAAAATATTCAATCAAGCCGGGTTCATAAGAACTCCAGAATAAAGTTTCATGGTAGCATGTGAGGCATGTATCAACTAAAATCCAACTTGAAGAGGAATAAGAGATGTATTTTGGTTCCCCTTTTCTTCAATTTCAAACTGCTTGTGATCAAAATAAGTAATTTGGATCGACACCACTCCCCTCCAAAAAAAAAAAATTAGCCAAAAAGTAACACACACTGCTACAGAGAGGTTTTCTGAGGGTGGGCTCCAGAATGAGTCCAAAAGCTCAGAAAGCTAAACCTCTGGTCCCGGTGATTGACACAGATTGGATCCAGCAACATTATCCTGGGACGTGTATATTCACTTTCATTCATCACAGTATAGTGCTTTAAGATAGTGCTGCAGACCCTGATAGTTTTGAAGAAGCACTTAAGAATGTAAAATATAGAATAACAGGGTTGGAAGCGACCCCGGAGGTCCTCTAATCCAGTGGTCACCAACCGGTGGGCTGCGAGAAAATTTTAGTGGGCCGCAGAGAAATCTCACCCCCAGAGCACCCCCCGAAAGAAATTAATCCAGGCTGTGCAGAAACACATGGCTGTGTCGCCCACATGGCCCGTGGGAACCCTCCCCGCCCACTCACTCCTTACTCGGTAAACTTGCCTGCTAAATTGCTATTTTTCCTTTTTCTGACCATCATCTGTTCTGCTGTGCTAGGAGATTTAGATTAGCTAGGAAGCAGGAAATGGTTGGATTTCTTGCTTTCTAGCTAGTCTTTAGATCTTCGGCTCAGCACAGCCGAACCTCCCTTAGGACTGAAGGTTTGCTTGCAAGAAAATTCAGTGCAGACTCACGGCAAGCAAATTTGAGAGACTGAGCTAGCCGATGGCAGATAGATTGATCACTGAATGATTCTGTGAGCAATTCAATCTGCCTGCTTTGCCTGATTTTGGGTAAAAGTTGCTCTTTTTTTATAAAAAATTCAATATTTACATGCATGGTGTATTGTGAGTTAATTTTTTTGAGTTTGCTTGCAAGCAAATTTTATGTGACAGACTCAGGTAGCCGATGGCAGATAGATAGATCTCTGAATGAATCTGATTCTGTGAGCAACTCAATCTGCCTGCTTTGCCTTATTTTGGGTAAAAGTTGCTCTTTTTTTTATAAAAAATTCAATATTTATATAAATATTTATAGTATTTACATACAAGCCATGTCCAGCCAGTCACATGACCACCAAGCCACACCCAAAAATTAGGCCATGCCCACAGAACCGGTTAGTGGTCCCTGGGATCTAAAATTATGAGTTTGGTGGTCCCTGAGGTCCAAAAGGTTGGCGACCCCTGCTCTAATCCAACCCCTTGCTCGAGCAGGAGACCCTATATCAGGGGTTCCCAACCTGGGGTGCGAGACGATATTCCAGGGGGTGCGAGAAAAGTCCAGATAAACAATAGGATATTGGCTATATGTTGGCATTTTTATTTATTATGCAATGGATTAACTTTGTTTTCATTTTAGAGTTAAGTATTGTTATTTAGTGGCCGTCACATACATACCTGTAAAGATTCAATCCTACCATATATTTAACGCGTTCAGTAGTTCCTAAAGTCTAAATTTCAGGGGGTGCGAGGTTCGAGTGAAATTTCTTTAGGGTTGCGGGGCAAAAAAAAAGGTTGGGAACCACTGCCCTATATCATACAATCTCTTCAGTGATAGAGCACTCACTTCTAACTTCTGGAGGTAAGCCATTCCACTGATTAAAAAAAATAAATTTTAATAAATTAAATAAATAATGACTTAAAATAATGACATTAAAATTAAAGCCTTAATTTTTGCAAAGTGACCTAGACTGCTTGCCTGGTGGCTAAAAAAAAATAATCTTTTAAAAACTCTTTGGGCATGATTTTTCTTTGTTTTTACAATTATAGCACATACCAAAACTATAAAATCCAAAATGCCTTAAAATCAACTTTTCTAGAAGAGCACAGCATATCCCAACAGTGTTAAAATTTCATTTGACTAAGGCATATGTGCAACTTTTTTTTGAGGTGTTCAGTTGGGACTTTGTAGCTCCCTAGCCCCTCTGGAAAGGATTAAATCCAAATTCTTAAGAATTTACTCCAAGTGACTCCATGTGTAACTAATGTGGCACTAAGGAGAGAGAGTGTTTATTCTGATTAAAATAGAACTGGTGCATGGATTTGTATTACTGTTCACTGGTTGAAAGTTCACCCCTACCCCCAATCCCCAGGCTCTTTGTCCATTATGATTATGAATAAACAGAGAAAAGAACATCCCTTCAAAAACTATACTGCTGGGTGACTCTGAGAGACAGGCACTCTGAGAGATAGATAGGCAGTCCAGAAATATGGGAAATAAATAAAGCAAGCTACATTTTACCTTATGCTCTTAGAGGGAAGATTTTAAAATGTTTCATTTCTATAACATCTTTGCTGATGCTCCCTAGAGGAAACAAAATAGTTTCACAAATCCTGCTGTGATGCCTTTTGCACAACATGGTACACTGAATTAATTATTCCTTTTCCAAGTCATAGTTATATATGATCAGATAAGGCAGGGGTATCAAACTCAAGGCCCAAGAGCCAGAGACGGCCCGCAGGGTGCCTCTGCAGGCGAGCTCCGTTTTGGCTGGACTGCAGGGCTGCAGGTGGCTGTTGCAGCCAAAAACGGGGCCCGGAGGGGCACATGCAACCCACCCAAGCTCCATTTGCGCTGGCAGAACGCTGAAGGAGGCTGTCACAACTGAAAATGGAGATAAGGAACCCGATTTCGCTGGCAGAGTGCTCGGGCCACCACAGGCATCCATATAAGTGACATCAAGCTAGCCATGCCCACCATGCTCACCCCAGCCCCCAAGGTCAAACACAACCCTAATGCAGCCCTCAATGAAATCAAGTTTGACATCCCAGAGATAAGGGATCACGAGTTCCTTTTACTCGTCAGCTTAGAAATATCTCCAGAACTAACAAATTTCTTACAATTGCTATTGATGCAAGACAATAATTGTTCAGTAATTTTGATAATTTGTTTTTCCTAAAATGATTTGTATTTCCTTTTTTAATGCTCTTCACTTTTTTCTGATTAATCAATAAATATATCTTAGTTTGCCTTCCATACTTCATCTTCTTTCCATAAATTTAATTTAAACCCATTGTAGTAATACTTTAATTTTGTGATTTCACCTGTTTTTTAATCTGATTGTATTGGACTGCATTTTATTGTACTATGCTTAATATTGGTTTTTGACCACAAATAAATTTCCTAGTCTCTATGCTTGGAGAAGGAATGTTCTACAACAATCTAATATCATAGTTACGTAAGAGCCATAAAATTTTGGCTTTTAGACCCCCTACAAAGTTTGGATCTGCTTGTATATTTTAACAAATAAGATGGAAATGGATGATTAATGAATGGAAATCATAAACTGGATTTAAATTTCTTTAAATAATCTGAAATCAAATTTAGAGTTTCTGCTGCCACAGATACAATATCTTACTGTTGCTAACATAAAAGGTGAGCCTTGATCCCCCCAAAAAGTTGTGCATCATCATTTTATATTAATTATTATAGAGTATTATTATTTACCCTATAATGCTCAGCAAATTCAAACCACAGAGCACTTCCTGCTGTTCCATCCATTTTACAGAGATAAAATGTATCAGTATTCTTATCCTCCATTTTACAGAGATAAAATGTACAGTATCCTTATGCTCCCACTGCTCAACAGTATAACAGGAGACATATACTAATTTTACACTTTTCTATATTATTTTCTGACTCTTACCATTCATAACATATAAAGTTGACAAGTTACAGTGCAGTGATAAGCAAAATCCTGATGGCCAAGTAGAGCCAATCAAGCTTGATTCAATTTATGTTCAATTATAAATATTCAGCTATTCAGTTGTACAACTTTTGCTGATCACTTATTTTTTTAGCTTTCTAGAAAGCACAGTACATATTTTGGTTTCACAGCAAACTTGCAGCTTTGTTTCTCCATCTTTTAACTCTAAAGTTGTGGTCCTTATCATTTTCTGATACCATAGTTATTAATTTAATAGTCTCATGAAAGATTGTATCATTATTTCAAGATATATTAAGTCCTTCTGCCAGGGGAGTATTCATAGCAGCTGGTTACTATTTTAAAAAACCACAGAAGCGTTTAAAATACAATTAAAAAACACTAAATAAATGGCACTGTACAGTCACAGATTACATGCAGACAAAAAATGCTTTAGCATTCAATCACAACTACAATAATTAAATTTGTAAAGTGCTAGGCCAATCGATTTTTCTGGGGGACTAATCATTTTAACATACCTGTACATAAGAAACTAGCCTATCTGGAAGAAGGCTAGCCTAAAATCTTTATGTGTGTAAATCCCAAACATCACATTTATTTTTATTTATTAGCTACATTTACAATCTATTTTTATCCCTTGGATTTCAGGGCTCTATATATCCCACTGTTTCCTTTGCACCGATATCGCGGGCTGCGTCTGAGAGGCGGAAATTGGCCCCAAAGTTAAGTATACTTAAGTATAGATGCAATTTTTAAAAAATCTGAATTCTGTTGAGGTAAGTCCAACATGCCAAAGATACCCGACACTGGTTTCCACTTCACTTGGGAAAAGACCAGCAGCCGTATTGCAAAAGAAGAATTGCGGTGAGGAACGCAACACCATAATGCGGTTGCCATCCAGGGTCCGGAGCTGAATTAAACGATCCAGCGCTACGCTGTCCCGCGTAACAGGGCGAGGCGACGAGGCTCTGAATCAGGATATCATTCTCCTCGTTCGAGGATCGAACCTCCCCCGTTCCTCCCGCCCAGACCCTCCGCTCTACCTGCACAAGCTGAAGGCTCCGAACAGCAGAACTGGGCGCAGCCATGTTGGAAGAAGGGGCGGCGGTCACATGATGGCGCGCATGCGCCACGATCAACGCCCCCTCCGCTCTGCCCCAGCTCGTTCCCCTTTTCCTATGGAGAGTATCTGTATCTGGCGCGGTGTCTCTAATGGTGCTTGGAACGGTCCTGAAAGGGTCTAATGTGCAAGACACCTAATGGATCATAATAACAAATTCGATCCTCAGCAAAAGTTTCCGAAAAGTTCCCTTTCCCTCCGCCGTCTCCTCCCCGTACTGGAGTCGTCCCCTGGTTCTCGACTCAGCTATTTTAAGATGTGTGGACTTCAACTCCCAGAATTCCCAGCCAGCATGCTGGCTGGAGAATTGTGGGAGCCCAAGTCCTCATATCTTAAAATTCTGAGTTATGAGGGTCGTGTAGGATGGACTTTGTAATATTTGAAATACGGGTTTTGTAGTACTGTAGCATTGACAAACTAACATTGGTTTATCTTCTTTCATTCAGCTCACATCCATGCTATGTGGCCCTCTGATTGAAAATCTGCTAGACTAGTGTATAGATATTGCAAACGCTAAATACTATTAAATTGTGGTGGAATCCTGAGAAAGACTCTCCTTGAAAACAGATGTATATTTTTGTTATATCTTTAGAGCAGACTTCAAGCCTGGATACCCAGATTTTAACTCTTGAGTGGGAATGCCTCTGAGATTGGTATTCTAGTTACATCAATTCCTTGGAGTAGGTGGATTAAACAACAGTGATTCATGCCCGAGTTACATCATATCTGGACTAATCCAGTGCATTTGAAATAATATATTCTTCATACAAGAAGTATGAAAAGATTAAACAATAATTCTGAAATACCAGAAGTTATTCAAAGTGGGATGGGTAAACTGTAGACCCCCTTCTCAGTGACCATTCTTAGGACACGAAATTCCATTCTACAAAAATCCTGCTTTCCTTTCAGTTTTTCACATAATGTAGTATAAGCTTTTCTTTTCAAGAAAAGTTTACTTTAAAAAGTGGGGTTTTATCAGTCTCTGGTTTAAAATATCTTTTTCAGTTGTAGTCTCTTATTTTTCCACTATTTGGTGTTAAATGCAATGACTCTAGGCTCTAGTCTAGAACAACCAAAGCACATGTATTTTAAGGTAGCCATATTGTAGTATTATCTCCAGTATGGCCTTTGGACTTGCTGAGTAAAATTATAGACCATGTCACCTGTAGTGTATTCAAATACAGACTTCTAAGACTACATTCCTATTGGTTAGTTAATGCAACGTAACGATTGGTTAATAACGACAGTTTCGGATTGGACGCCTAAGCGGCGGGAAGTTTAAATAAATGCCATTGGTTGCGAGCCGTGAGCAGCCGCTATAAAAAGGGCTGCCGCGGCTCGACTTTAGTTGAAGTTACTGGTTGCTAATAAAGAGCTGAATTCAACTCCGGCCTTCGAGTCTGCTTTGTCCTGGCGATAGAACATCACCCAACATCTAAAGGTTGCTAAGATGGGAAAGACTGACTCAGTCAAAGACTTTTGGCTATTATTAGATTTGTCTTTCCCCCCACTCTTGAAACATTCACTATATAAGGCTGAAATAAATTGCAAATCAGATTGCTATTTTCATCAAAAATGTGTTCTGTGTTATCTAACTATCCAACCTCAAGAAGAGTTCCATATATTTGGAAAACCTGGATCATATATTATAAACATGGCTGCTCATCTTAAAGATGATAATTTATTGTTCCCCAAATGTCAGAAACGATTCTTACAGGGCTATGACCCTGTCTCCTATATAACCGAATACAGCTATCCCTGTGGGTCCTGGCTCCAGAACTCCTGGCTACAATATAGAACATGAAAGATTAGAACAATTCACAATTCTGCTTGGATGCTGAAGACGGATTGGGGGTGTGGATGGACTGTTTTTGACCATGATTATAAAATCCAGAATGTATCAAGGAAATCCTGTCAAAATTTTATTGTTCAGTTATTGTCTGTACTTTTCTCTCTCTCGTGTCTCCTCTGATCAGTCCCTCCTTTATATACCTTGGTGTCAGACACTTCGTGATTTTATATAATTTCTATCTGAGCCTGAAACAGCACAATCTGGCCAACATATGCCTTGTGCTCAACAGATGTTTACACTCCAAACTTAGTGCCTGAAATTCAAGCAGCGTGAGACAAAAGATGGCCAAATGTTAACCATCTCCTTACAGTACATCTATTTGCAGCCTTTCCAAATCTGCTCTTCCCTCACTTTCTTCTTTTACTACTATTTACCTTTTTTCTTAACTTTTCCTTGTATATTCTTTACCTCAGCTGCATACTACAAAGGTTGGAGATAGATAATGGTTTTTAAGAGAGCTGAAAGGTGAATGAAATAAGAAAGGCCATGGTGTACATCTTTTTGCTGTTGTTTTTTCATTGTTCTCACCAGACTTATCAACTTGAAAACCTGGAAACCTTTTTTTAGTGGATGTGTATCAACATTACACAGATTTTTTTCTAATATTCATATTATTATTTTTCAATGAGTTTACGCCTTATGTTGCCCCTTCCAAAACAGGAGACACTTTCTGAAGATTGTCTAGGAATGTTTTAGTAGACATATGTAGACTAGCTAAATAAATTACATTCTGTATATTTAAGCATTTAAGCTCCCTGTATTTTCAGTTCCCACGAAGGTAACAATGTTAGATTTTTACAAGCCTACAAAAATCTTGTGCCATTTTTTAAAAAAATAGTAAATATATTACAGCATGGTTTCATAGACTGCAATCCACCATCAGTTATATGGACATCAGTCCTGTGAAAGGAATTTCATCTACTGTTGAAAGATGTTGAAGATGAGGATTGCTTTAGAAATGCCTAAGTATAAAGTAGCATTTAAACTAATTATACCAAATGTGGCAAGACATCTTGATCTTTGAGGAATGTTGTTAAATCTACTAATTATTATTTTTTCCTTGTCAATAGCTTTATCTTATTAGCCATTGAGTCAAAAGGACATAATAGATTTGTGGTAAGTGTGTAAGGATTCTGACTAATCCTATAACAAGAGCTTTTCTCCTTTGGCATGGAATACTTGAAAATGCTTGGGGTATCAAGTGGTTTGTGCAGGTGGCAAACTTGTAGGCTGTATTTGGTAATCTAGAGGGCGGGCAGCATTTCAGAGTTGTTTGATAGGGAGATGGGTGGCATATCAATGTAACAATAAAGAAAAAAAATATCCCAGCTGTAGCCTCTGCAGAAGTCCCCTTGCCTTTAATTGTCTCCCTTTGGGTTCATCCTAAGAGGGAACAGCCAGCCAGCAACCCACAAATAAATAGAGGTGCTGGCCAGAAGACAACAGCACAATCTTGGTGGTGGTTCAGGGTGCTGTCTATTTTTTTTTCTTAGATTATTTAACAAACACTGTTTCACAAGCAGCAGAGATTTTGTTACCTTTCATACTCGTGTAATGGTTGGTGCCAGTTCGCTTTCAGTCATTATCATTATCATTTTTTTTACTCTGTGAAAATGAAAGTTTAAATTTTCTGCAGAATTAAAGTCCAAATTCTTATGTTTTCAAAACAGTTGAAAACAATGGGAAGCCAAGCACTTGATGCACAAAACTGGTACATATATCTCCATGCCAATAAAAGTGCTGCTGGTTTGTCATGTTTATCACAACAAAGAAGCAGTTCAAGAAGAGAGTTTCTCAATATGACTAATAGGTTATTTATTTAATCTGGGTAACAAATCAGAGGATGCTGATTTCATATTAAAGCATTCAGTAGGTTCAAGTCAATGGATTGCACATATAAAGATGATACAATAATACTTCCTCAGTCTGCAATAGACTGAAAACATTCAACTACAGAATTTAAACCAAATTTTATCCTGGTCTTTGTGATACTATTATATGGTAGTTCAGAAGAGTTGGCTGCTGAAAAATATATGTGTCACGTATACATCAGTATTCTACAGTAGGAATCATCACCTAATCATTGGCACTGCCCTGCCTCATTGATTCCTGATTGATTCCTCATCTCTTGGAGAGGTGCATTGTATCAAGGAATTCTCTGTTCCTGACAATGGAACTGGTGGAAATTCCTCACATATGTGTCAACTTAACAGCATTTGGGAACAATCGTATGGTTATGTCTTCATAGAATCAAAAAATCATAGATAAACAGATTTACCCATTTGCACATTCACAGAATTGTAAAGTTGGAAGGAATGCCCTGCCAGTGTAGGAATTCTCATACCACCCCAAATGGTAAATCAATCTTTTTTTGAATATTTCCACGAATGGGGCACCCACAGCTTCAGCTATTCCATTATTTAATGACTCTTACAATCTAAAAATCCCACCTTATTCTAAGTGTAGATCACTAGCTGTAATGTTTCCATCAACTGGCTCTCATCTTATTCTCAGATTATATACAGACGAAGTACCTACTCTCTTTTCTATGAAACCCTTTCATGTATTGGAAGTCTTTCTCTTCTTGAAGCTAAACATTCCAAATTCCTTTAAATGCTATTTGTAGGATTTAGCCTCTAAGCAAGCCCCCAGCCATCTTTACAGGTCTTTAGCACCTGTATTGTGATAAGCAGAAACGGACACAATGTTTCCGTGCCATATAGAATGAAAATGATTTGTATTGGATCTGAAATTTTGATTGATTGATTTTCAGTATTTCTAAACATCCCAAATCGAAGGAGACTTTGTGCACAAAAAACCCCCACAACAATATAATTATATAATAAAATCTTCATATATGTACATATACTGGGCATTCCTTTACCAAGAATATGTTTTTAATAGAGTCAAAATCACCAGGATGAATGGTTCCAGTTCATCAACAGAACAATATGAAATTCATCACAAAATGGTTGATCAAGGAGAATAAGAAAATAATGTTTTCAGATGACATACATTTCTTGACAGTTTGGAGCCAACTCACTGATTCAGCACAATGAATACATTTCATTGTAAATGAGTAAGACTCTTGAGTTTTACAGAGGTCATTTCTTTACTAGTGATTTATAGCATCTTCAAAGCAA